ATACCATCGTGCTCATAACACCCAACATCGAGCAGGAGGAACAAATGCTTGCGAATTCGACGGCGCTTGTGAAATGATTACGATTACGACTGAACCCGATGAAGGCGATGTTCATGCAAAACGGATTTTTCTGAACGACTATCTTAAAATCAGCTAATCAGCTATGGGTATCTAGGTAGGGAAGTCAACATCATGAAATACCTAGCTCCGGAGCTGAGCAGACGGAAACGCGCGGCGTTGGGAGTATTTAAGAACATCGAAGGAGTAGTGGAGAAGACGAAGAACATCCGGCTCCGCGCTCACCTTTTCGACACTGCTGTCCTTCCTGCTTTGACGTACGCCTCGTAGACCTGGACTATACGAAAGCAGGATGAGCATGCTGTCAGCGTTACTCAACGAATTTCCCTGTACACGCAAGGGCAGAAGGGAATCCGGAGTTCCGAGCTCCGCCACCGAACGAAGATCAGGGATGCCGTTGATTACTCCAAGAAATCGAAGATCAGGTGGGCCGGACACGTTATGCGATATAGTGATGACCGTTGGACCAGAGCGTTTACTGACTGGATCCCTCCGGACATGAAACGAATTCCAGGACGGCCGCCAACGAGAAGGTCAGACTTCTTCACGAAAGCTCTGAACGAAAGGAATGTTGAACTTCGTGTCCCTGAAGCGAGGACGATTCACTGGACCATTCTGGCTCGTGACAGGGACAAATGGAGACGTTACTGGCGCCCGCTCGGGGAAATCTATGATTCATGTGGATAATGCCTTGGTGCTTATTTGGCAAATCTAGTACTGCTTCCATGGCGGAAACATTACTCACGCTAGTGTAGAGACCCTCCACATCAAATGATTCCATGACGCAGGCATAATTGGGTTGAAGTGCCTGAAGCTTGTTCAAGAACATCTGGATGTTTTTCAGGTGGGAGGGTATGTATTTGAGAAGCTACACCAAGATTACATTAAGAAACCATGCTAGTCGATCAGTGGGACCACGCATCTGATGATAGGTCGAACTTCGTTCGAGGTGGGGGCAATTGATGCCAAATCATCAATCATCTGCAAACTTGTGTTTTTATCAGCAGGTATAGTACGGGGCAACACATTTTGGGCTGTGTTACTAAGGTAGGATCCAAACCCACTGATTTGGCAGTAGTCATCCGCACTTGGTTGAGTCTGCGACACCGCCTTTGAAAGTCCTTGACCGAGGATGGTCGGTAAATAAAGGTATCTCCCAGATGTTTTGTTATGATATGTCAAATTGACAGGGGATTACCACAGATTCCCCTCCTTTGTCACTAATGACAATCTGAAGGTCCCGGACTTCATCAAATCTTGCAGCAGCTTCAGACCAGAGGCTTGCTCTTGGCTGATATTGGATGGCATGTGTTGTTTTTCACATCTGCCGAGTACTTTAAACACTTCATCAGCGAATATTCTGGAGCAAATTGTAAGTAACGTTAGGCTTCTGTTGCTTGAAGTACGTGCGGGTAAATGGCGCGTTAAGGGCGTAATCGGGAAAGGTGTGAAGGAACCGCTGTCGATTTCAGCTTTGTAACGTAGCCGGTTTTGGAGATCATGTAAGTTGCATATAATTCTGCGCATAACAAAGGTGTAAATGGACCGAGATGGAGAGAAACTGGGGCCTAATTCAATATAGAGCGTGTGCAGGCCGGCAAAGGGAGTCTCCCACCACTATGGCCCTGGACTTCCTCGAATGCGTGATGACTTCTGTGGTATTAAACTTCCGTAGGGTAGGAAGTTGATGCATTTGGTCACGTAGTCATGAATTGCTCCGATCTTTCCAGGCTCTGATGAAAGCGATCACGCCGAAACGTAAGCCGGGAAAAGGATTTTTATCAAATTCGTCCGAGTTCAAGCAGAGAAAACCAACGTTTGCAGTTCATATTGATACATTGTGAATTTATGCGGACTATTTACTATGCATCGCTCCAACAAAATAACCGACGGTCATATAACCGTCTTCTGTACAATATACAGTGGAATCTTCTGTGAGTCTAAAAAGGCAGTACAGAAGGTCATAAAACGATACAGAGGAGCAGTATCAAGCACAGACGAACTCATACTTTGTATAGAAAAGGCATTACTTTCAGAAAGAAGACTGTGTGTTAAAACAGTGCGTTCGCGAATTGACCATAATCGTAGGTGATCCATCAGAAGAGGTGGTAACAGAGATGGACTTGTCGATCCTGTGCAGAAATGTCACTTCGTTTACAATGCCAGCGAGCACCATAGGCTCAAAATATGCGAAAGGTTACTGACGCACTCCAGTGGAGACACACATCTTCCGTCGTTTTCTCCTACGGAGATTTTTCATGATAGCGCCTTTCGTCATCAGACAAAACCAAAGCGTTCATAAGCCAATCAAATACACATGAACTTTTATGTCATTACATAAGTACGCATCAGTTACGCGTACATGACATAATCTCTATGCATAAAAGCGCAAACATAATATAGTAATAAGACACGTCAATGAAATGGGAGCTTTTTCCTGAGAAATCACGATTAACTGGAAAATGTCGCAGGTGAGGCTCAGCAAGAATTGAGCATAATTCCGAGCTTGTACGGAGCTGGAGGTGTTTGATCAGAGGAATCTTGAAGAGCAGCTCTTTCCAGTTTGTCATACATGAAAAATTTCAATAATTAGAAAGGAAGGTGGGGACAACAACAGCCAAGTGGGGCTTTGTGCGACTACCCTTTTTAAATGCCGGATGTGTGTGGTAAAATACCCATGTGGGTGCAAATACTTGCACATCGTAGACAAATCCTCTCATGAGAAATGAGAACTCGATTAATATGTCAAAGTAGAAGAAGAACTGAAAATAAATTGTAAGTTGAAAAAAGTTAGTGAACTGGATCTTGTAGCTGCATAATATATAAACCTAATTCCAACCATAAGCTGTGTTGTGGGTTGCCAAGGAAAGCAAAAGCAACTTACTTGCAGAATACAATTCAAGGATAGTGAAATACATACTGAGCAAGTCAGAAGAAGAAGGGATTTTTCCGAGCGCTTGTAGGAGGCTGGAAGTCGTCTGGAATTGTCACCCAGAGTGCTCAAATCGAACGGAAAAATCTCATTTAACATCGTTACTTCGAAATCAGCATCCTCCATCCAATGATGGTTATAAAGAAGCAAATCAGGTCGAGCACACATGCCAGACTCGTGACAAACACCAACGCAAGACTGTTGCGCCACTGCAACCAATCGTGCTTATCATGATTTTATGTTGACTTTACCTCGATGAACTCTACAGCAAGCAGTTCTATAAATTAGGGGTACTCCTAAATTTTTCTGCTCGACAAAGTTCGAGTCCAATCGATTTTTTCTCTTCGAAAGCTTTCAAGAAGAAGAATAGATCTATAGTGTTCTTATATTGAGTTATACCTCTCTTTTATTATTTTGCTTAGGACGTTAAGGGAGCGGGCAAAATTCATCACGGATTCGATGCCCTATTTCTGCTCTTGAAAGCAAAGCTCGAGCTTTAGTTGGCTAGGTAATTGCTGCCGATGGGAAGTGGAATATGTCACTCTAAGCAGTGACAGGACGTTGTTGCTAATATGGACTACAGGCAGGACTAGAAGAGTAACTAGGACGTCACCCAAGTTTGGTAGGGCATTCTGTCGTTTGTGGGAGATTTTCCCGAAATGATTGGTCTTGTCGATGAAGATTTTTGGGCTTTTCATCATCTTTTCTTTCATCTATGTAGGTAGGCTAAGTAAACCTTCTCGGTGATCATGAAATTCCCTTCAAGCATGTTCCAGTGAACGATGCCATTTGCTACTCTCTTCGTTGCCCTCAGAAGATTTTCTTTTGCGATCGTCAACGTCAAAATTGCCATTCTGAGTTTTGCAAGCCACTTCCATGCTGTGGACTCGGCTATGACACCCTTTCCGTACAGGTTGCAAAGATCTGGGATTGCTTCAGCAGTTTTTTGGCCTCGTAAGAAGCGATTCAGAGAAGTTACGGAAATCTTGATTCTTAGCTCCTAGATATTCCATTCCTGATTGAATAGTTCTTCGAATAGCAAAAAAAAAAATCGTTGTAAAATAAAGAAATGTAAAAACTTTTCGAATTAATTCCCTCACTTAGTAGTTTCATAAAGACGGCTTGATGATAATAGCTTACCTCTGGGAAGACCTTTTTGTAGTCAACGGTAACAGATGCGGATTCGTGTGGAGAATCGAGAATAGGTGTGTAAAACGCCATCGCAGGTATTAGGAACCATGTTGTAACTAATGGTAAGGCGTATAACATGGAAGCAAGTATCCAACTGAGACGATATTGAAGCTGAGATGGAAGAATGATTAATTGCGATTATCATACAATCATTCTTAATGTCTTCAAGCGCAAAGTTTTCAACTACTGCTAATTTTGAAACTTTTCCGAGATTCTAGACACACTCATTGGAAAAAACATATTCCCATAATATCTCACATTTGCAGAAAACGGTCCTGAAAACCGAGAAACAATTTTACGTAAGAAATTAGCCAACGAGTAAAATTTCCGTGCCTTGTCTCGGTTCTCAGTTGACAATATTTTCCAAATCACCATCATTTGGTTGAAAGCCAGATATATGTACTTGAATAAAAGAGATGTGAACAACGCGCAAACTAGAGTAGCTAACAATAAGAAGACTGTATTGAACTGCTTCTGTTTTAAACTACATAGGCGTTGATCTCACTTTTTGGTAATTAAATATGTATCAATACCAGAATCTGCCTAAATCTGAATCCGAATCGGGCTGTTGGAATGAAACTAATCCCTGGACTGTTTTCCTAACTCGACTGCAGTGGAAAATCGGCAACTGTAGTCGCTCTACCATGAGAAGGTGGGGAATCTCGTAGTGTTAAGTGAAATTCCCTTTCCACCCATTTTATACAGAAAATTTGTTTGCAGCCTTCACCTATAGCTTAGCAGCCAGGTACCTTCTTTGCACATTTCATCTTTCCGCTCAGTTCTATGTTCTTCTTCCCAATTAGAATGTGATGGAATTTAAATCAAGCATGCGAGGCCAGGCGCATGAACTCCAGCGTGAAGGTAGGGAAGTAATTAGAAATAGAACGCCAACTTCTCCTAGAACGATTCCGAAAGCGGTTTTTTGAGCATAGCTTCAAAAAAGGGATCTAAAACATTGAAAACAAGAGAAAGCAAAGATTGTGCGCAAGATGTCCTTGCCTCGACACAGGAGTATTAGGAGAGTGCGCTGAAAATCTTGAGCAAAACCTGAGCGGCTGTCTAGCACACACTACGCTTTCGTTGGCGCCCAATGAGCAATAATGAACATTATAGAAAGAATAACTGGTCGAGATCAACACAGAAATAATACCGGAACATACCTTACTCGAGTCTATTGGTCGGAGCACGGCTGTTACTCTGAGAAGTGAAATAGCTAGCGTAGAATAAATCATGGCATAATTGAGATAGTAGAAGAGTACGTAGACAAAGGTGATGAGAAAGTTCATCGGTATTTTACAGATTAGCATAGTAACGGCTCCGGTCATTGGCAAACGGATGAAAATCATCTCAAAAATGAAGAATGTCAGCGACTGAAAAGAAGTAATTAACTGATGACATTGAGACAGCGCTCATAAGTATAGTGAACACAGGAAGACCCTAATGAAGGACGGTTTCTAATCGAAGGAAAGAATTTCCAGATTTATATAGTGTATTCCAATGGATAGAGCAGCCCCTTACTATATGCGGTCCTCCAATGAAATATTCGTTTTGAAGAATCTACTTTTTTCACTATTCCTTAATGGCACGACCAGGAAGAAACCGAGTCTTCTCAATTTCTACCAGGAAGCTAGTTAAAAATGACGGGAGAAACCACCACTTCACTCTCTGCTGGTACTTTACTTCATGATAATGGATTTCTTTGAATAGCGAGGGATATCATCAATAGTCAGCGCAACAGATCATAGGATACCAAGAGGCATTCAGACACAAGCTTCAGAGTTCGAGTCTCATAGCTTGTCAGGTCAGTTATGCCTTCTCTTTCTGCTCAGAAGCTTAAAATCACTCCGCTTGTTGGCCCTCACATTTCGGGCCTAATCAGCACCAACTCAAGTAACTCCCCATTCTGAGTGGAAGACAAATTTCTGTAAACAGTCAACAGGGTATAGCATCACTCTTCAATTTTACTATTTCAAATTTCACACTTCAAACACTACGCTTTTCAGGGTCCGATGAATGTGCCAAATGTTATTACCTTATGTGCAATTGCTACCAAATGTTATCCGAATTGTTTTTCAACAGCAAGCTGTGAAGTAACCAGCAAGTGGTAGGACCTAAGATCAGTGTATACAGATGGTTACCACTACCATTTTCCTAAGTCTGAAAGGTAGAACCCGAACCTATACGAACTTTGCTAAGAGTAAAGATATATATATATATATATATATGTATATAAAGGTCAAAGGAAAGAACTCAGGGAAGTTTAAAAATTTAGCGTAATCTCTGACCATAAGAATTTTTCGCTTCAGGTTTGCTGAAAGTGCTACTTCGTTCGTTCACTGCCCTCAACAGCCACTAGGGTAAGCAGCTATGAACTATTTCGGAAGCAAACCCAGGGCCGAACCCCTAGTGGAGCCGATATATTTCTTCGTCATGTCGCGGCCGAAATGATAGATGCTGATTAGACTCACCACTGCATCAGACCTCTGAGGTGCATTGTTGCCAAAACACCGTCTTAAGGGCGCGTCGAAGAAGCTGCAGAATGGTCTTGTGTGGCCTGTGCTTTCTCCTAAAACCAGCCTTAACCACCACCGGTCTCTCGTCACCAAAAATGCCAAGTGGTTCGTGACGGGTTGAACAGCGCCCTAGAAAGGATGCAGCGAGGGTTCAATAGCCGACTTCGTCGACGTCTAGACTCAAAGGCGGATGCGTTCTAGTCATATTGCAGAGAACGCATAGTTCACACTGGAGCAGATATACTAAAAGCAAAATTGTAGCTATATGCACTTCTGATTCAGGTCGACAACGGAAGACAATTTTTGAGCATTTTTTCCCTTATAGCAGCTACATGCGCGATTGCAAAAGGAGGAAATTTTGTGCGAGTAACCCTTCCGTACCACTCCCGTCATGGTAATCTCGTGCAACCCCTATTTTCAGCACTTTTAAATGCCCCATAAGTTGACGTGATGTTTTAAACTTGGGTTTCGTTCTGAAATTATTNATTTTTTCTGGCAAATTGTATGCACTATTCGAATTATTTTTTTCCTCAAGAAATCTATGGCAAGCGTCCTTTTCATATGATCAAATCAATCACGATTTTCGAGTGATAGAAATGGATTACTCATATGGCAAAAACGGGTGTCACAGGCCTAGTGCACGTAAATGGATTGCAAAATCCGAAAAAAAGACGGCTACTACTAGAATACTTAGAGAAACACTAGGGTCAATGAGAACTTTGTACAACCTAGTTTCACCACATGAATGAGGCTGTTCTGCTGAGAAATCCAACCGACAGGTGCAAAATCCGTCAAAACATCTTTACAGGAACTTGGGTGGGAATTTGGTCATATTTCCGAGCCTTGCACATTTTCTTCTCGTTGTCCAACCAAATGAAGGGTCATACCATCAATGAAAAAGTCCTCAAAAATGGCTTCCCAACCCGGAATCGTTGATAATCCAAATGCGATTGTGATAGGTTTTAAGAGCGGAGAAAATTCTTCCGAACTATTCATAAAGTTTGAACAAAATTGCGCAATTAGTTCCGAAATAAGTTAGAAGTAAAGCGTCACGAACTTACCGACTACCCTTATTTCGCAACTCCTGTTACGATGCTGAGTAAGTGAAAAGAAAAAAGGAATTCATTCTTCCTTTCTTTCTATTTTTTCGTCTTTCGTGCTATATTCTGCATCAGCAAACCATTTTCTCCCATGTCTAACTATGCTCTGTCTGACGAATCGTCGTTAAAGATGATTCTATTAATGAACGATGCAGATTTCTCATATTACATCTGGAGTGGAGGCAGAAAAGTTTTTTTTAATCTCATCTGTAACACTGTAACCCTCTAGAAGATTGTGAGAATGTTTCTCTCACCCATTTGCACTGATATTGAACTGATGAGTGCCATCATTGCACGCTGAATACTATTACTACTACTAGCATAGAAATTGGCTGTAAAAAAGTACACCTCGAAGGTACCACCAGTGCCCAAAGAGGCTCCCAACATGAGGATATGATATGTAGTTTGAACCTGAATCCTCATCTCATTTACTTGATCGTGCGCTCACTATCAAGCTATGATACTGATAATTTGAGTGAACAACGAACAGCAACGACTTGTCCCAATAGATAATGACAGCAGGGTAAGGGGTAGAAGCTCGACTGATTCGGAGACCTGCTCCAGTCTCGTCGAGGTTTGCGCATGGACATGGTGTGGGAAAGTGCAACTAAACAGTAATCGAGAGAAGTTTGATGAGATATCACACTTCCGGCTTCTGATTTAAAAATTATGAAAGAAATTTGCTCACTCCGGTGCTATATTGCATGATTATTTCATGCCTTAATCTACTACTACACTTCTCTTTACAATCCCATATTTTTCTCACGAAATGGCGTATTCTTAACTAGATTTCGCAATCTTTTCTCTACAGTTTATCAAAGCATCGTTTCGAGTATTGTCCACTTGTTTTCAGACATATTCAATTCATCCAATCAAAAACAAGAAACGTACGAGTAGTCGGTCATGCAAGAAGAGTCTGAAGAACGGAGTCGGCAGCTTTATCGGCTTCTTCAATGTGGCTAACGCGACTCGATATGTAATAATGATGGATGGCACCGAATAGAGAAAGCTGATACATAATGCAGTGAAGAATAAGCACTCGGCTGATCCTATTTTGAGGGTGGCGGCGTAGCTACAGTTACCATTGATGGAGAGTACCATGGAGTTCACTGAAAAGCTAAGAAATAAGGTTGTGGCATCCATAGATACAAGCAGCAGGCCTCCGTAAACCATGAGGCTGGAAACATTCTTGTCATTCCATCATTCTTGTGCGGTACTGTTGCAAGGGAAGAACTGGTAGGGGTATAGGTTGAATGAGATATGGGCGTTATAAAATTTGTTCTGAGAATCTACTCATAGAGCGTATGTTTTCTTTTGCAGATGTTTTCTGTCGAAAAAAAAACAGCTTATATATATGTCTTGGAGCGCACGTTTTTCTGTATCAAATTCTTCTATTCTTTTCTTTACTGAACTCTCAGACCTCCTCAATGATAATCATCCTTATCCATCCGAAGGATATTCAGCAAACTGGTAGTAAACTAAGTGGAGCGAGAAGGATCCTCGTATATGAAATAATGTAAGAGTTATAATGACAGCTCTAATAAAAAATATAAGGTTCGCTACTGATGGAACTAATTATGAAAGCGAAGCTCAGCACCTAATGCAATAACTCATCCCCCATATTTCCACAGCTTGATTTGTAAATCATTTGAATTCCGAGAGCTATGTCTTCACGCTGAAGGATAAGTGTCAACTGATGAAGAAGAAATATCAAAGCTGGTAATCTATGATAGTTGCATGTATTAATGGAACGTAACGGTTGGCATGCATGTGTACGTAATGACTTCAAAAAATTCATATATGAAACAACGGAGCACATTGTATAGATAAATTCGTAAATTCTAATAATGATGAAACGAGCAGTGGTGGCACAAGTGTCTGAGTTTAGATTACGAGCTGTGGTTCAATCCAACCCTTAGAGTGCATGTCTTGTACCGTCCAACTCTGGCATTGTGCTGAATGGTCTAGAAAACGATCACTGGCGAGGAAGAGGGCTTGATTGAACTTTGGAGGAGGGACG